TTAAGCTACGTGCCCAAGTCTAAAATAAAAAGCACATTTTGAAATGTGGGATTAACAAGAAACACTGGAAAAAAGAAATCAAGAAGACTTATGAAGTCTCTGTTGTTGATATCTTTCAGGTGGAAACTGTTCTTCTGTGAAAGATATACTTAACTAAAGTGCAGGAATATTGAGAAAAATAATAAAGTCCTGCATAACGCAGGAAGCCAGAAAGATGGCGTAGTTGTCTACTGTGGTTTAAATTCCACACGATGCTAGGTTAGCACCCAATCTTTCTATTTTTTCTTGGTCAGTAATATTGGATCATGTTCTGAGTAACATTTAATTACCTTCTGAAGCTCCTGATGTCATTCTGAGCACTGATGTAATAGTATCAAGTAGTATCAAGTAACATGCTGCTCTGAATGCCTGAAGCCAAGAAGAGGGACACTGAAAAATTAGGTATGAAGGTAATACCCACAGAATGGTCTAGCATCTCTCACGCAGGAATGAGGAGAAGGGAATGAGTAGCTGTCTCTACTGGCCCACTTCTCCCAGTAACCAGAATTAAAAGCAAAAGCTCTCACTTAGCAAGGCTTCATGTCTAACATAAAACACTTGACTAAAGATAACAAAACTAAGAAATTATACCAGTCACCAGTGGTAGAGCAAGGAGAAACATTGTTCTTTTTGTATGAACAGTGAATGTTTGAGGACTCCTTCCATCAACAGGAAAGCACAATGCTGGCTAACACGAGTGGAAGTGGGTACCATGACAAAAGGAGAAACATAAGGACAGTACATGCTCATACAAAATTTAACTAAGTTCGCTTAAGAGATTGTCACAACAAAAGACCTTTAAATGAATGTTGTATATGTCACAGGTTGGTTGAAGAATCAGAAATAAGTTCACTGTATGGTCTCTGGATATGGCCAGATTATCACGTAGCCACTGTTTCTTCTGCCATAACCATTACTTTCCTTTTCTAAGTAACACCCTAAATAAGGATGCACTGTGTATGATGAATCACTGAATACATTTTTTTTTTTTGCTAGAGCTACAACAAATGCTAAGTAGTTTCTTTTGTGTAGATACAGAAGCATGGTAGTAAACAGAAATCCAACTGCTTCGCTTTAGCTCACAACTCTCTTCCTCCTTTTTTATTGCTCTGCAAAGGAAACAAGCTATATAAGTCTGAAGATCATTATTTGTACTACGTCATTGCTCATGAAGATTGCTCTTTTCTCCTGCATAAGCCAGCTATATGCAGAATGAGAAGACATAACAAAGGAGAAGAAAGGAAAAGGTGCCATAATAAGTGGAAAAAGACTAGGAATTAGTGAGTTTACACGTACAAACATAACCAATACAGTTCCTAAATGTTAGATTGTTAATGTGTTTGTTTATTCAAAAAAGAAATATTCAGGCATTTTGCTGCTACGCCAGTATGAAAGAATTAACGTGCATAGGGATACAATTTTTATTTAGCATTGCACTAGTTCTTCTCCATGACTGCACTACTTCAAATTTTTAGTGAGTTTGGAATTTTCTCTGAAGCCAAGCCAAAAAATAGAGCATGCACCTTGATGCAGGATCCTTTAATGCTGTACAGATCTAGTCAAAGAGCTTTCAGGGCTTCACCTCCCTCATTCTGAATGATCTCCCTACAGCACATTTCTGTAAATGTATCACATTAGTGTACGCTGTTTTCTGCAAACTCTTTTGTCCTTTGGGATATCTGGAAAGCATCCAGGGAGACCAGCTTGGACAGAAGACATTTCATCACACACTTCTGTCATCAAGTTCCATGGCTGATTTATTTGTATACCATCATTTAAACATGTAAGAACCTAACCTGCTCTTTGACATGGAAGCCAGATTGTATCCCAGCATGATCATATGGTAGTAATACATCAGAACACCAAGCCACAGAAAGCGACGTATTTATTATTTTTACAATCACGTGATGCCTCAAATGATACTATGTAACTCTATATGCAGTGTATCCATTGGACAAAAGCTGTTACCACTTTATTTGAAATAAGGTATAGATTCCCCTTTCATCTTGAAATAAATAACCCACAGGCATCATCTAATCCAGTGATGTTGTAAATTTGTGCTTGTCAGCCAATTTCACATATAAGTCAATAAGTATTTTAAGGTTGGCATAACTTTGAACTAAAAATCTACAATTCAGTTAATATTTATGTTTATTATAATTGTACAATTACATATAATTATACTTATTCTATTTCCATAATAATGATCGTATGTATTTTTAGTATGTAATTTTTGATGCAGATTATTCCTGTGAGGTGAAATAAATACTACTACCCAGACTTACTCCTCTTAAAAGGGGTATATTTGTCCTAGTTCCCTCTACAGTGAACACAGGGAGATGGGCGCCCACTCTGGGACAGGGTCCCACCTTTGATATTTCTTAGTAGTTCTAATATTAAACTCTGATCTCAGATGATACAATAAAATCACACTTAAAACACCCTGAAAATGAAAATGCATGGCGCAGGCCAGTTCAAAGAGGGAAGAAATCTACTGGCATGATTGTTTTTCTTCCCTTTCTATCTCATTTTGTACTGTCGCTTACCTAAGTCACTAGCTCTAACATGAGCCTTCTACATGTTTGAGTTTTTGACAATAACACCATTAACGCTGTTAAATTTGCTCAGTTCCTTATACCTTGCTTTAAAGTGTGTTCAGAGGTCTCCAACTTACACATGGAATAATGCTCCCCTCGACTCCTTATTAATCTAAGCCTACTTTTCAAAGGAGTTGAACACTTAAAAATGCTGCTGAGGTAAGTGGGAGTTAAAACTTTGAATATAACAAATACAATGTGAATGGAAAGTTAAAAAAAAAAATAAATCAGGTTCTCAAACTGTAGCATCCAAACCGAATTGATACTTTCAAATATTTTTGAGTACTTTTTTTCCTAATATGTTACAGTTCCAGTCTGCAAAGTGGGCACAATATCACTTCTAGGTCTTAACAATATGTTGAAGAAAACTCATCAGTTAGTTACACACTCAATATTATACTTTATTCTTCAAAAGACAGTCCATGACAAAACCAGTAACTTCATATAACGTGAAAAGGAGGATCTGCTGGAAGTAGAACAGAGGAACATGACATCGATAATTAAATAAAAAGGAATATTTAATAGCCATTAGATGTGCACTGTCCTGTTTGTCAATAAACAGATCAGAGATCTTATTAGAAACAGTACGTTATTGTGTAATTAAATGTATTGGAAATGTAAATGCATAGGGGAATTGGATTAAGGCTGCAAACTATGTTATTAATGCTTGGGCGTGGGTGGCCAGCAGAAGGAGTATTGTCGTGAGCATCTCGCTGGTAGAAAGATAAAGGCAGATGCTGAGGCTCTACAGTCTGCTGCTCCCATTGCTTGGCTCAAGGCAACTGAGCCGAGATGAGAAAACAATCAGGGCTCCCATTTTTATAGATATTGGGTATTTATAGATATTGGAGTGAGACAGCAGTTCAATTTTATGTGTGAATAGTAAATGACCATGATAAATGTATCAACACCATAATTCCCACTGCAAAATTCAAAAAAACCCCACAACTATTTCCAAATTCATTTATCCACCATTATATATAATACAGTGCGTTAACTCTGAATCTTTACCTCAAAAAACTAAGAACTTCAAAGAGTAATGCCTCTAAAACAGTGTCATATTTATAACTGTTCCTAAAGGAGAACTAATAAACTCTGTGTTTCTGCAGATTCAACACTTCACAGAAAAACACTCTAAAATATGCTAAAACTGGATATCCATAGCTTTTCAGTATCCTGGATATTTAACTACATAACAGTAAGCGTCATAGTAATTATAAAATCCTTAATAGCATGCTAATATGCTATTAAATATGCTTTAATAGCATATTCACCACATAACTCATTCTCCCTTACTACATTGACTTTTTCTGAACAGGTTTTCAAACCTTACTGTGAAACTTAAATAATCTCACCTTTCAAATTTTCATGTTCAACTTAAGTGAAATTTAGTGCTATTGTTATAACTTAAAAACCAATATAAAACATAGATTTGGGGCCTAGAGGCCATTATTCATTTTGCTCAAGAACCAGTCTTTTGTTATTTTATTACTATTACTGGAGTTATTAAACTGGCCTTTAATAATTCACCATAGTTGCCTAAGATCAATGATGCGTAATACTAAATCCTTCCACTTCAGATAATTTAACTGAGATACTAAATATCAAGATGCGTAAACAAACCAAGAATTATTGAGAGACCCAGCTTCAAAACCAGAAACTGGGCACAATTTAATTAATAAAAATATTGAAATGTTTGAGTCTGAATATCTTCCCAAACTTTTGGGGCCGACTAGATTATAAACTCTCAAAACTGAATTATTTCATGGGATACCACAATCATAAATATTTGTTATCTGTTCTACTGAACTACCAAATTCGATGAGTCATGGAAAACAAAAACATAATAGAGAAACCAGTCAGTCAGTTACATAATTATATTAAAATTGTGAGTAATTAAAGGTTTATTTTGTGTCTTGGGCATAATCACACCCCCTTCTCTTACTGTATCTCTCTGTGTATATGTGTTAGGCTCTGACAATTGCATAATGGCATCTACAACAAAACTTAGTGACCCTACATTCGTATGTTTATATATCTTAGAGGTAGTATGGGATGGCCTATTCCCACGGTAAAATCAAAACTTCTGAGCAATTTAATATTCTTTCACTTAAAATTAATGCAGAATCATATTGCACAAATGACAATACCTACATCTGTGCTGCCAGTCATTAAAACACTTTAGATGGTTGAAATTGTTAAATCTCCTTCAACTGAAGAGAAAACTCAAATGTCAAAGCCCAGTTTGCTGTCAGTATGCTTCATACTCAGCTGCTAACTTTCCATTTTTTATTAGTGCTTAGAAAGAAGTCACACATCAAGGTCAGTTAGCACACTCACCAGTTGTTCACCAAGTTTACTCACCCTTTGACCTTCTTTGCCAGGTGGACCTTGGGGACCCTCCAGCCCTGGCAAACCCTGAAAATACAAACATTAAACAAATATAACATTCAGGGTTATTTTCATCCTCCATTATTCTATAGAAGTAAGACTAAGCCAAAGAGCCAGATATCAAGACAAAGCATTTATTTCTAATAATAAAAAAAAGGTTATCATAATAACTTCTTTCAGGATAATGTTATATTCAGGTGCAAGGAAAAATGCAAACAATAATTATTAATCACATTCCTCCATGTAAAGGCTGAATCATCTGGAAAAGACGAGGTAAGTCAGCACTATCTAAGCGTAGTTATATTTAGCTAGTGTTATACGGAAAGTGATTTATCTTGTTAAGTTAGGATGCCATAAGAAAAAAAGAAAAAAAGGTTATATTAAATGAATGACAACTTACTCTAGAACTCAAATTCAAATATAGGCACTGAAGGGGGAGGGGAAGGGAAGGAAAGGGAGGAGGGGGAAAGGGGACTAAATATAGCAGGCGGCCTTCTGCTGGCTGTATTGTAAGAACCAGCCCTGTGCAGCTTCCTCTGTGTGCCTGGCTCGGCTTTTCAAAACTCTTCAGAGCTGCTTCTCTCTCGCCGTCTCCCCTGACCAGGCACAGGAGCTCTGGGTGTTTTGAATATACCTTTGCCTTGTGAGCCTTCCTTCTGAATTCAGTGCAAGGATCTGCCTTTGCAGTCACAGACAGAATCACAGACTGTTTCTGACACTTAGGGGCTTTAATTTTATCTCCGATTAATGTATGATATAATCATAAAGCCTTCAAGTAACAGCCCTGTACTTACAACGGTGTCCCCCCGCCCTTTACTTTATGAGTCACCTTGGAACACAATTTTCTTTTAAAAATTACTTCAAGGAAGCTCTCCAATTTCCATTATAGCAACAAGAACTATGAAATCGGTTTCAGTGTAATCAGCAAAGAGCACTGAACAGTTCTACTTTGTATAATTAAAAAAAAAAAGTCTTGAATGTAATATTGCATATTATTACAGGGTATCACAAAATTTGAGAACTTATGTTTAGTTTATTTAAGATTTTGAAATATTATACCATTAAATTGTTAACCATTTAAATTACTCAAACTCAGGTATTGCTTCAGCTTGAGTTATATCTTTGGTCAAATTCTGAACTCATTACTTAGAATCAATTATATTTATTTATTGCCCCAGTAAGGGTAAACTGAGATTCCTTGAGAATCATGTTTTTAAAAAGTGTTCAGATTTCCAGAAATGCATTTTAAAAGTTCATTTATGACCTCTAATTCCCAAGATAAACTTGAGAAAGTAAGTGGGCATGCCAAAGCTGCTAGCTCATATATCTTCAAGTGATGTTTTAAGTTGATCAGAATTAAGTCTGACTTCAATTTTAAATAATAGTCCGTTCAAGAGTTTTTCTATTCCTATCATTTCTCTACTTTCAAACACTGAAGCTAGAAGAGTACCTCAGACTGTATTTCACTATAGGATATTTCTCCTTTCACTTCAATTTATAATGTAGACAAGATAAGGTTTAAGATCTTTTACAAAACTGATACGCACCATTTCCATCATTCCCCCAAAGTCTATGGAACTAGAATATGCATGACAATGTCATGTCCAAAAATAAATCATGGTGAGTTAATTACAGTGCCGTTATGTAGCTCATACATGCACAAACCCATAAAGCGGTATGTGAATGTGACCTCTGCAAACCACTTTTTCCTCAAGGTAGTTTAGAACTTTCAGAGAATTCCATCTGTCTAACTGTTAGCAATTTTCTACATTTGTAGAGAAACTCTGGGAATTCAGGAAGAGGTGGAGTTTTGTTTTGTTAATATTTCATTTCTAGTGACAACTTTATGCAGGGGAATGAGATGAAAACCTGTAATGTCTGTTTTATGAAGGAGGAAATACTTACCCTCACATATCTGTACAACAAGGCTCCAAGGGGACAAGAATTACACAAGAATGTAACTGCACAATAATGATAATTAATAGCCAACATTTTTGTCCAAGACCTACTTTTATTCTTTTTCTTTTCTCTACAATATTATTGTCAAGAAAAGGAACCAGATAAGGAGGTTTATCTTCGAGGAAAGGGAGGAGAGCAGCTTACAATTGGTAACTAGGCAGGGAGGACTACACTGTACAAGGAGCCACATCCTGACATTGAAATGGAGGTAAAAGTTCACACTAACTTCAGTAGGATCTTCAGTTTAAAAAGTGATAGAACAACATGGGCCATGTTAACTAACATGGCTATAAAACTGTAGTAACTTGGCAATGGTAATGACTTAGCAATGCTATCCCTGTTCAGCATTCACTGAATGAGATCCTGGAAAATTAACTGAAGAAGAAACCTGCAGGAGGAATGAAAAATAAAACTTCTCTATAGTGAAATCTGTCTAAATGGACAAATAAAACATCCCCTGTTGAACTCCTATAAAACTTGGCAATGAACATAATGGTTTAGCACAGAAAAGAAGTACGTATTTGTAGGAAGGCAGACCAAAGTATCTATCTAGGTCTTCTCCTTATTTAACTTCTGGAGATCTCTCTTTGGAGATCAAAGATAAGATTCTCAACTCCCCCAAATCATGGATGGTCCAGTCGGTAGACAAACCCCACCAGAGGAGCCCACCACCACAGATAGAAGGGGGGAGAAAATAGCCTGAACATAGCCTCCTCGGGATATGCTGTTGATTGTGTTGAAAACATTTATGTCAGAAGGCAATCTATTTTATATGTACCATCTCCCCAGGTAAACACCATCCAAAGCAATTAAAATCACAGAAATCATAGAATCGCTTAGGTTGGAAAAGATCTTTAAGATCATCATGTCCAACTGTTAAACGTGATTCACTATGTGTCACCCTGATAGTCTTGCACGGCAAGAGGATGTGTACGGCAATGAGCAAAAGGAGGCGTAGAAATAGCACAAGGCAAAGTGATGTATAAGAACAGCCTATTCCTGTGGCATCAGACTGGCAGGAAAATAAAATGCATCCTTACAGGTGGCCTAATATGCACAGGATCTTCCTGACTCTGCCAGGCCACTTTTGACGTTGGAAGGCAGTACCTTTCTACCTACTCCATGGAGAAGTGAACTAAACCAACATATGCAGTCTTTAGGGCTTGTACCTGTCACAGACCAGGTAAGCCCCCTGGAGTTATGTGCCTGAAGGAGCTTGAGGAACATGAAGTGGAAATGTCTCAAACATTACTGTGTGCCTTGGGGGAAAAAAGTAAGCAAGGTGGAGATGGGCTCAGGTGCATCTGAAATATAGAAAATCTATTACAATGAATGAGGATGGCTATGAGAAGAGATGAAACATGATGCACGGGCAGGCACAAGATGGTTGTACAAAATCTTGAAAGTGAAGTTAAGAGCAGAAACTTGTGAATTCCTTGGTAAGAGGTAAACCATAAAGGGAAGTGTTGCCCAGGGAAAAGATGCTGGTTGTGAAGCTAGATAAAGAAAAAGCAAGCATGCTATGAAGCACATGCTGACAGATATTTAAACAAAATATCATCAAAACATAGACTAAGCTTTAGTTGAGGGAATACAGGAAAAACAAGGGGTTTAAAAAATGCTACAGTAGAATAAGCTCAGAGTAACTGCCTAAGAACACACTCTGAACAAAAGCAACACTTTTATCATGACCTCTTGGTGAATTAAAACAATACAAAACAAAAATCCCAGCGGAAGAGTGAAGTTACTTAAAGTTGTTATTCGTATTACTTCCTCCGGAAGCTTATGGCAGATGCCAAAAGAGTAAAATATTAGACAAGTAAGTGTATTTTTGGTATTCTGAAAGTTGCTTCAAAACATAGCTGATAGTTTTTGAAGCAGAAGGCTAGATGGCTGCCTTATGTACTCATAGGTAGTGTTGGTGAAACAGGTTCTGAGAGCAGCAGCCTTTCCTTCTCAACACAAATTAGAAATATACAAATGCTAACAATGATAAGGCAGGTCTAATTAAAGCACAAAAGTGATTTTATTTTAGACTGGTTTCTGTGTTCTATACACAAACTTCTCTCATCTATTTTCTTCCTCTGTCCAGCAAACGCATGACCTCAATTTTTATAGAATAAATGCTACTAGGCAGGAAGAAAGTGTATGTACTTTAGTGAGACAAATCAAGCAAAGACAGAGACAAAACCTAAATTAAGGATGCAGAAACAGTTTGCGGTAATGTAAGAATAGCTCATTTTTAAGCATGTGAATATGCGAGCTTTTATAATGATAAAACTTCATAAAGACCCAGCTATAACAGACATGATTCGCCAAAGGAATTTGGAAACAATATGTTTATAAACAGAAGGGTATAACTCTACTGAAACAAAGTCAACACTTAAACCTTTTTAGAAGCAAATTGATGGGCAATTCCCACTGCAGGGGCTTGACCTAGTTCTTCAATGCACAGTTCTCACCAGGATAAAGAAAAGCCATCACACTGATAAATTACATATACAATGATCCCTCTGTAAAACCCACAAGTAGAGCAGCACAGAACCACACAAATCAATAGTCAGGTAAAAAGTGACCAAGGATTTCCAAATTCCTGACATAACATGTGTGATCATGGTAAAGAGCTGCAGCCTGACTAACTTGAAGAGCTCTCCCCAGCCACCCAAACATTGCTTGTGGGATGGATTGTCCTGCTGTGGCTGCACTCATGCAGGAATGTCCCAGCACCTCAGAGAGGATGCATCAAAATTCAGTTCAATTAGGTCTTAAATTCATCTACTTATCCAGAGGTGTTATCCAGACAACAAGTTCTACCGTGCAGGTTATGACTGACACTGTGATCCTTCTATCCTATTTTGAAGATATTTTCCTCTTTGGCTTGTTTGTACCATATTGAGGGGACCTGAGTGGCTTACTGCCCCGTAAGAACGGGCTATTACCTTCAGCAAGCAAAGGAGCTGAAATATAAATCCCTTCCCGCAGTCAAGATGGCTACAGCGTTCATTTCCCAGATACCTTCAAGCCAGTTTACTTGCTGTGACTGTCCTGCTGCCCTACGTCAAAGCCCA